AACTTTTTTATCTTTATTGTTTTTATAAATTTTCTTTTACATTTTAAGTTTTTGTGTGTTTTTTAAAATATGTCGTTCCTCACTTTACTACTATAAGAGTAATTTTTTTCGCATGTGTTCTTATTTTATTTTTAGTTGGTTAAAATAATTTTCTTCAGATGTGTACGTACTTAATTTTTTCGTCCATTGTCATTTTTACACATATTTCTTTTTAAAATATTAAAAAAAATCTTATAAATAAATTTCTCATTATTCGGTAAATAATAAACTTTTCAGATGTCTCTAACACGACAGAAGATGTTACAAAACTAGTATTGAATAAAAATGAATAAAACACAACCCTCAAGAAACCTCAAAAACACTACATTAATACATCCATTCATTTCGCTGATTCGAGTTTAGAATTCAAGTTTTGCTACAGTAAAAAGCTCTCACAAACAATCACTTCTAACTTTTTTGCTACAGTAAAAAACTCTCATATAAAATCATATCTTAACTCGAATTAAAAACTCGAATCAACGAACTAAAAGGAATTCTGCCCCAAAACCACAAAAACACGACCTTCCCTGCCAAAATCCAAATCCTAATTTCGACTCCGTCCACTCGTTCACAAATTATGGGTACAAAAAAACGGCTACAAAATCGAAGAAACCATCATCCCCAGACCTCGGCCTGTTGGGAAAGAAACCAGCGGCGGCGTTATCAATACTTGTGACTTTCATTATTATCAATACTCGGTAAAGTCATTTTAAAGATGATATGATTCTAAATTCGGCTGTTGTAACTTTATTATTTTAACTACTTCCTAAGATCAGGCTTTGAACCACTTTGCTGCGGTTTAATTGTTTTTAATCTTTTCCTTAGGTTGAAATTTGGGTTATACTTTCATTATGACAGAGACACAAAAGAATACAGTACTGAAATTGGTTTGTGGTTTTTAATAACGTTATAACAAGACAAATGAGTATTTTGTACACATTGCTACCACTTTGATGTTTTCATTATGATAAAGTTGTTTACTGGAATAAAAACCTGTGTTTGTCTTATCTCAGAATCATTTTTTTATGTTCTATGAGCTTTCATTGATATTCCCTTGGTTCATATTTACAAGTACCTTTGCTTAAAAAGACTCGATGGAAATCATACAAAATAAGGGGATGTTTAGTTGGAAGATTCAAACTATGATTTGAATTATGATTCATGATTTGTTACAGTATTTTTTCTTACAAAAAAATACACGTAAATCAAAAATTGTTCAAATTATATGATTATAATCCATGAACCAAACGTCTCCTAAGTAATCACTCGGATTGCTGTGATATCAATGAATTAAGGGCCTAAAAGAACCTTCAAAACACCGACATCCTCAACACCCACAACCTCCTCATCCATGCTGCTACCTTCAAGATTAAGGGAATTAAGGTCTCATTTATTTTACCGATTCGAGTTTTTAATTTCAATTTTGTTATAGTTAAAAGTTCTCATAAAAAGTCACATCTAACTTTTTATGCTACAATAAAAAAATCTCACATAAAATTACATCTCAACGCAAATTGAAAATTTAAATAAACGAACTGAACGAGATCTTAACGTAATTCAAAAAAGATTGTGTGACAACATCTATGGACATGATGCCATTCTCAGCTTTCATTGCACCAGACACCAAATATGCACTCTGTCAAGTAACATTCACTACAGTCTTTATGCAAATGAATATCAAATTTTTACATCTGAAAGTGTTTCATTATTGTAATAATCTCAAACATACGAAAATGAATGAATAAGAATTTTTTCAATTGTAGTCGGACAGAATCAAAAACCAAACGAAACGCAACTCTGCTTTCTTTATAACAATAAGATTCAATATATAAAGAAAGAAGTCTCAAATAAACAACATACACGTATTCATGAACACATAATGAAAAAGAATTATGAAATGACTCGTGCAAAATATGACATGAATCGCATTGGGCGCGTTTAGAACTCATTCTAAAATGATTTTATTTTTTATATGTAAATGAAAATGAAAAGGTTTTTAATCTCAGACAGAAATCATTTTTGAAAATGCGTTTGGTAGTTTTATTAAGAGATTATTTTCAGTATAAAAAACTCATTAATGTCTCTCTCTCTGCTCGAGAGAGGAGAAAACAAAAAAAATGAAAAACGACTAAAAAAGTCATTTTTCATTTCTCTCTCATTTTACACTAAATCAAAAAATTATTTTCATTTTTATTTTTTATTTTTATTACGTCAAACGCCGTTTTGAAAACCTTTTTATTTTTTTTTTCAAAAACGTGAAAAAGGGGGTCAATTTCAAACCCTGTCATTACTTTAATGATTATAACATTATGAAACACACTGAATTTAAAAAGTTCGTAAAAAGCCTCAAATAATAAACATGCAAGAATACATGAGTTCATAAAACAAGTAATTTCATTATAATAATGAAAACGTCATTATCAAGAAAAATGAAAAATAAAATGAACAAAAAATCCAGAAAAAAATAGTATTGATTCTGTAATCTGAAAAAAAAGAAATAAAATGCATAATTTCAAATACCATAATAAAAAAACAAATAATTGATTGCAGAAAATCAATTAGAGCGAAAAAGGAAAGTAAATATGTAGATATGAGAAAAAAAAACAAACAGATTACATTACACAAAAATTAACCATATATGGAACGCACCTCAAAATAACTCATAAGGACATATCTGATAACAAATATGCCTTAATCGGTATTTTTGTAATATTATATAATAATTGATATTTTTAAAATTATTACTTTAATAATCGATATTTTATGTAATTATTTCATAAATAAATTACCATGTTTGGTAGATGTAAACGGTGAAATCTACAATCAATTTGGACATGGGTCAACAACCAATCTCATGTTGTTTGAATGAGAATGATGTACGAGTAAAGTAAAGTGGTTCAACTTTAAGGTGAGAGGTATGTCTACAATGATGATGGGACTTTCACTATTCAAAGCGAAAAGTATATAGAGTGCGATGAGTGTAAAAACTGAGTCCGTTTGTTTGGAGGATTTGTTCTCTGATTCGAATCATGATTCATGATTCGCTACAGTATTTTTTCTCATAAAAAACACACGTAAATCGAAAATGGTTATAATCTCATGGTTTTAATCCATGAACCAAACGGGCTGAGAAAAGTACATAGAGTGCGCTGAGTGTAAAAACTGATAGGAGTGTAACTGTGTGTAAGGTCTCGTTCGCTTTGCAGATTCAAATTTTTAATTTGAGTTGAGACGTGACATTTTATGAGAGTTTTTAATTGTAGCAG